GCCAGGCATTGTGGCATGTGCCTGTAATCCCAGCTACTCAGGAAGCTGAGGCAGGAGAATTGCTTGAAACCAGGAGACAGAGGTTGCAGTGAGCTGAGATTATACCACTGCACTCTAGCCTGGGCAACACAGCAAGACTCCACCTCAAAAAAAAAAAATTATACTCTAACCAATATATAAATAATTACAAATACAAAATTGGATACTTACCTAAGAATGATCATCCCCATTTCAGTCTTTTAGGAAAACAGATGACATTACTTATTTTTTAAAAGTGACGTTTTCATGGAAGACTTTTTCCAGTTAAAACATACACTACAAAAAAGGTTGAAGACAAAAGTATTAATCTAAATGGCCTAAATTAAGTCAGGTAAATTTTATTACTTATATATGTAATCGCTTGTTAATGCTACACTTTTTAAAATATGTAGGTTGAAGATCTAATGAGGTTGAAGATCTTTGCTCTCAGATTTTGGCCATTTTCTTATTGGATTGGATTTTTCTAATTATTAGGCTTTACATATTCAGGACCAGGACAGACAACATAATTTGCAGAGCACAATGCAAAATAAAAATGTGAGGCCTTTTCACCAAGATGGCACCAAAGAGAAAAAAGAAGCCCGGCCCCTCCCAAAGCTGAAGCCAAAACAAAGGCTTCAAAAGCCAAAAACACACTGCTGAAAGATATCTGCATGCTACCCACCTTTAGGCTGCCCCAAGACACTGCAGCCAAAATATCCTAGGAAGAGTACTCCCAAGAAAAACAGGCTTAACCCTGACCAATGAGAAGACGGAAGACCACACCACACTTGCATTAGTTGTGTATGTCAAAGCCAACAAGCGCCAGATCAAACAAGCTGTGAAAAAGCTCTAGGACACTGACATGGCCCAGGTCAACACAGGACCGGATCTGACAGAGAGAAGGCATATGTTCAACAGATTCTTGACTATGATACTTTGAATGTTGCCAACAAAACTGGAATAACCTAAACTGAGTTCAGCTGGCAAATTCCAAATATAAATTTTTCACCATAAAAATATTTTAAAATAAGTAAATAAAAATGTTGGGCTACTTTTTCAAAAATTAAGAATTTCAAGACAGTGACAGCTTACCAATAAACTAAGCACAGGAACCATCTAAATGAGGGGTCCTGCGTGACTGTACAGATTGCACACCCATGAAGCCAGCCCTGGTTAGGACACTAATTCCCTATTACATATATTACAATTATTTTTCCCAAAATGTGCGTCATGTTTTCACTTTCTTTAAGGTGTCTTTTGATGAAGGCGAATTTTTTAAATGAGAGGAACATTATAAAACAAATTTCAGAACAATTTCAAAGTACATTAAGCTGATTGTTTTTCCAAAAGTAAGAAAATTGGTGAACTCAAAAATAACAAACTTGTTTATTCAGGATGTTGATAGCGGGGGAGACTATGTATGTGTCGGTATGGTTATGACTGTGTAGGGTAATGCGTGTATGTGAAAACTCTCTGTACCCCTGCTCAACTTTGCTGTGAACCTAAAACTACTCCTAAAAATAAAATCCAGGGCCAGGAGTGGAGGCATGTGCCTGTGATCCAGTTACTCAGAGGCCAAGGTAGAAAGACCACTTGAATCCAGGAGGCCCAGGTTACAGTGAACCAAGATCGCACCACTGCACCCCAGCCTGGGCAACAGAAATAGACCCTGTCTCAAAAAAAAAAAAAAAAGAAAGAAAGAAAGAAAAAGAAAAAGAAAAAAAATCCTATACACTCTATGGAAAGATTGTCTGTGTAAATCTCTATTCTTAAGTGAAAAACACACTGTGCAAGGGGGAAGGTGGGAAAACCAATTTGCGAAATAACAGCTATAATATGCTACCTTTGAGATTGGTGGATTGTAGGGTAAAGATAGAAAAAAACAAGAATCTGTAGTTATTTATTTATCTGTCTGTTTTTGTTTTTGTTTTTGAGACAGCCTGTTGCCCACGCTGGACTGTGGTGGCACAATAGCGGCTCACTGCACCCTAGACCTCCCTGGCCTCAGATGATCCTCCAGTTCAGCCTCCCAAGTAGCTGGGACTACAGAGGCACACCACCACGCCCGGCTAATTTTTGTATTTTTTGTAGAGATGGTTTCACCACGTTGCCCAGACTGGTCTTGAACTCCTGGGATCAAGTGATCCACCTCCCTCGGCCTAACAAAGTTCTGAGATTACATGCCCAAGCCATTGTACCTGGCCAGAATCTGTATTTTTTGTTTTTTTTTTTTTCTGTTTTTTTTTTTTTTTGAGACAGAGTCTCGCTTTTGTCACCCCCCCCTGGGCTGGAGTGCAGTGGCGCAATATCGGCTCACTGCAAGCCTCCGCTCCGGTGTTCGCGCCATTCTTCCTGCCTCAGCCCTCCCAAGTAGGCTGGGACTACAGGCGCCTGCCACCACGCCCGGGCTAATTTTTTGTATTTTCAGTAGTGACGGGGTTTCACCGTGTTAGCCGAGGATGGTCTCGATCTCCTGAACTCATGAACTCATGATCCACCCACCTTGGCCTCCCATGAGATTACAGGCGTGAACCACCGTTCCGGCCTTTTTTGTTTTTTTTTTTTTTTTTTTTTGAGACGGAAGTCTAACTCTGTTGCCCATTGGCATGGGGTTGCAAGGTGGCAAATCTCGGCTCCTGCAACCTCTGCCTCCAGGTTCGAAGCCGATTCTCCGTGCTTCTCAGGTCTCCCCAAGTAGCTAGGATTACAGTACGCGCAACACCAAGCCCGGCTAATTTTTGTATTTTTAGTAAAGACAAGGGTTTCACCATGTTGGTCAGGCTGGTCTTGAACTCCTGACCTCATGATCCACCCACCTTAGCCTCCCAAAGTGCTGGGATTACAGGCGTGAGCCACTGCGCTGGGCCCAGAATCTGTATTTTTATTGTCTTTATTTATATAAAGAAACTCTAGAAGGTTACATGAGAAACTGAACAATAGTTTCCTGGGTGGGGTGGAGTGTTGGAGGAATGGTGTGAATAGAAACAGGGCAGCTGAGGGATATAGGTGGGAGAGAGATTTTCCACTGTTTTTTTGTATTTAGAAGTATTTATAACTCCAGGATAATTTATTACTGCAATACAGATTAGTAAATAAATGAACCAAAATAGGGCCTAAATACTATCAACACAAACACACAATAACAGGGCCTATTCTTTTACCATCTCTGGAACTAAGACCTTAGCACTGCCCACCTCACTAAAGTCATCAACCCAAGATCTCTAACACTAGTCCCCTTGAAAAAGGATATTTTCTCCATAATTCCATGTTGCTTCTCTCAGGGTCAGGGTCAACTTTTTCTCCTCTAGCTATACAAATCCTCCTGTCTCTTCTGAACAAAAGCCTCACCAAGCCAGGCACAGAGATGTAAGCCTGTAATCCAGTTACTTGGGAGGCCAGAGGATCACTTGCACCCATAAGTTCAAGACCAGCCTGGGCAACATGACAAAACCCAATCTCTACTAAAAATACAAAAATTAGCTGGGCACGGTGGCATATGTCTATAATCCCAGCTACTCAGGAGGCTGAGGCTATGCTGTTCCAACACCCTCCAAATCTGCGTCTCTACTTCAAATCTTACCTCTTTTTTTTTTTTTTTTTGAGTCTCACTGTCACCCAGGCTAGAGTGCAGTGGTGCGATCTCAGCTTACTGCAACCTCTGCCTCCCAGGTTCAAGCAATTCTCCTCCCAAGAGGCTGGGATTACAGGTGCCTGCTACCACACCCACCTACTTTTTTTGTGTGTTTTTAGTAGAGATGGGGTTTCACCATATTGGCCAGGCTGGTCTTGAACTCCTGACCTTGTGATAGGCCCACCTTGGCCTCCCAAGTCAAATCTTACCTCTCTACAATTAATGCGCACCATATCAACCAGAATGTACCTTGTACAGCATAAATCAGATCACCGGAGTGATCTGCTTAAAACCTTCCAAAGGCTTCCTGTTGTAACCCTACCTGCATTACAACTATGAACTACTAAGACCCTACATGATATTAAAAATAACCTACCCTATATGAACTGGTATCTGTCTACAACTAACCTCATCTTTTTTCTTTTCTTGTTTTTTTGTTTGTTTTTGAGACAGTGTCTTGCTCTGTCACCCAGCCTGTTGTGCCGCGGCATGATCACTGTTCACTGCAGCCTCAACCTCCTAGGCTCTAGGGATCCTCCCACCTCAGCCTCCCTAGTAGCTAAGACTACAGGCATGTGCCACCACGCCTGCCTAACTTTTGTTATTTTTTTGCAGAGACAGGGTTTTACCATGTTGGTCTTGAATTCCTGCGCTCAAGCAATCCACCCACTTCAGCCTCTCAAAGTGCTGGGATTACAGGCATAAGCTGACATGCCAGGCCCTGACCTCATCTGCTTTCCTCTTCATTCATCTACTCTCTAGCCTTACTGGTATATTTTCTCTTCCTCACATTTTGTTCCTAATGTAGGGCTCTTGTACATGCTGTTCTTTCCGTTTGCAATGTGCTGCCTCCAGGTCTTCTGTTCGTAACATTTATGTTTTAACTCAAAGTTACCTCTTCTAAGAGGCATTCTATATAGTCTCACAGTTAAGATAGCAACCTAGGTCATTATCTACCACATTACTTTATCATCTTTATAATATTTATTAATAATCACAATTCTCATTTATTAATATAAATACTTCTTCTACTGGAGAATAGAAGAGTCTTAAGGATAACTTTTAACCCGTGACACTATTTTTTTTTTTAAACAGTCTTTGTCACCGAAGCTGGAGTGTAGTGGTGCAATCATGGCTCACTGCAGCCTTGACCTCCTGGGCTCTAGGGATCCTCCCACTTCAGCCTCTTGAGTAGCTGGGACTACAGACGTGTGCCACCACACCCAGCATTTTTCTTTTTTTTGTAGGGATGGGGTCTACTATGTGGTATAGGCTGGTCTCAAACTTCAGGGCTCAAGCAATCCTCCCACCTCAGGCTCTGAAAGTGCTGGGATTACAGGCTTGAGCCACTGCACCCAGTTACAACTCTATTATTATTATTTTTGAGATGGAGTCTCACTCTATCACCCACGCTGGAGTACAGTGGTACAATCTTGGCTCACTGCAATCTCCATCTTCTGGGTTCGAGTGATTCTACTGCCTCAGCCTCCTAAGTACTTGGGATTACAGGTGTGCGCCACCACGCCCAGCTAATTTTTGTAGTTTTAGTAGAGATAGGATTTTGCCACATTGGACAGGCTGGTCTTGGACCTCCTGACCTCAGGTTATCTGCCCACCCAGGCCTCCCAAAGTGCTGGGATTACAGGCGTGAGCCACTGTGCCCGGCCTATTTTTTAACTTTTCTATTAATTCTCAATTATTTCAAAATCACATACATATAAATTTCACACTAAAACAGAACAGATTCAGGAAGCATTTTTAAAAATCCCCCATGCCCTTTCTTCGTACTCAATGTATTATGTAGGATGTAGCCCACTTATTACAGTAAGTTCAATAAAAGTTTACCTATTCTCAAACAGGTAATTAGGGGTAAGACTTCTAACAAAATTCTCTAGGCACAGTAAAAATGAAATGAGAAGTCAAAAAAGCAAGTAGAACAGGTACCCATAATAATGAAATGAGGTGATATAGCAAGAGTATTATTTTAAAAATAACAATAATCTACACAGGAATGAGCAGTTGTACCATAGTAATTTGTATCAAATATCAAAGCTTCCCCATTTTACATTCACTGTGTGCTTCTGGATCATGCCACAGCCATTATCAATGCATTAAGTGGATAAAATTACCCATATTCAAAGTTGTAAGAATGACAGAATAGGTATATGTTTATAGTTGAAAACAGTCACAGGCCAGGTGCAGTGGCTCATGCCTGTAATCCTAAAGCTTTGAGAGGCTAAGGAAGCAGGACTGCTTGAGCACAGGAGTTGGAGGACAGCCTGGACGACATAGCAGATCTCATCTCTAAAAAAAAATAAAAATAAAAAATTAGCCGGGCGCAGTGGCTCACACCTGTAATTCCACCACTTTGGGAGGCCAAGGCAGGGGGATCAGGAGGTCAAGAGATTGTCCTGGCCAACATGGTGAAACCTTGTCTCTACTAAAAACACAAAAATTAGCCGGGCGTGGTGGCGCATGCCTGTAGTCCCAGCTACTTGGGAGGCTGAGGCAAAAGAATCACTTGAACCCGGGAGGCAGATGTTGCAGTGAGCTGAGATTGGGCCACTGCACTCCAGCCTGGCAACAGAGCTAGACTCCGTCTCAAAAAAAAAATAAAAATAAATAAAAATAAAAAAAAATAAAAATAGCTGGGTGTGTTGGTACACACCTGTAATCCTAGCCACTTGGGAGGCTGAGGCAGGTGGATCACCTGAACATAGTTCAATGCTGCAGTAAACTATGATGGTGCCACTGAACTCCAGCCTGGGCAAAGGAGCAAGATCCTGTTTCTAAAAACAAAAACAAAAAAGAAAAAGAGCCGGGCGCGGTGGCTCAAGCCTGTAATCCCAGCACTTTGGGAGGCCAAGACGGGCGGGGATCAACAAAGCGTTCAGAGATGCGGAGACCATCCTGGCCTGTAACACGTGAAACCCCGTCTCTACTAGAAAAATACAGAAAAGCTAGCCCGGCGAGGAGGGGTGGGCGGGCGGTTCTGTAGTCCCCAGC